CCTAGATTCACTCCATTAGCTCTCCATTTCATCTCATCTTCAAGGCGTTTGATGTTTAAGTGTCCTTGGCTACTGACAACTCTCTCTGTTATCATCACTTAGTCCTTCAGCCGAAACCAGTCAAAGCTCGTTAGGAGAAAGAACAGTGCTGAGGATACCATTTCCTGTGCTTCTCTGTATTACATGCTCTCATTTTGAAATCTTTAACTTAAATAACATGTATATTATATGCGCATACTATATGCATGTGCACATACTATGTACATGCATGTTACATGCATATATATGTTATAGGTGTGAGAGTGTGTCCATTATGTGTGTGCTTACATATGTTACATATGTGGTGTAATGCATGTGTGCGTGTGATATGTGTGTATGTGTGTGGTATGTGCATGTTTGTACATGTGCACTCACCCATGCAAGCACATGTGTGGAAACCAAAGTTGACATCAAAATGTCTTCCTCAATAGAGACTCTGTGTTATTCTTTGAGGTGGCGTCTTGTACTGAGCTTGGAGCTCATTGACTGATCTGGACTAGTTGACTAGCGAGCCCTCCCCTCTCTGAGCCCACCCTCTGCTGGAGTTAGGAGTGCACACTGCTATGCCTGGCTTTTACATACATGCTACGGACTTGAGCCCAGATCCTGATGCTGATACAGGGAGGGCTTTATTCAGAGCCACCGCCCTAGCCCTGAGCACTCTCTCGTTAAACTTCAGAGCTCTTCTCTAGGAGACCCTGCTGTCCTTCACCCCACTAGACTGGGATGCCCCTCAGGGAAGGCTGTTGTTGCTGTTGTTTTTCCCTTTTAATTTTCAGAGGCTGACAGAATGCTTAGCACACAGTAGGTCCTCTGAACGGATGACTCCATGATTTCATAACAGTCATAGAATAAATCCCTAATGTGTGAACTGGGCATCTGGACTCCTTCACAGTAGCACCCAAACGTCACTTTTTAATCTTCCCATCAACTTGCTGCCTCCAGGCTGATACTCCATCCACGCTGTCACGACTCCTACTGTCCCCACTCTGCCTCCCTGCCTCACTTCCCTTTACTTCTTAAGCCTCCTGTGAATGCCATCACTTCTCCGAGCTCATCCGGAGGACTCTAAGCCAGAATCTACAAAGCTCCCAGCTCTTTGTTCTTTAGCATACAGCTTGAGAAAATAAACTGTGGCTGTGCACATCCCTCTCTCTTCTGTCAGCTCCTCCAGGAGAGACATGTCTAGGCTGCCAGATATTCAATAAATATTTGTGGAAGGTTAATACCCAGGACTTCGCTGCTTTGGGTGATGTTTAGATTTCTGTCTGCCACATCTACTTGGGGCACAGGAGGTCACTTCTCCCAGGCAAGCTAATCAAAGGCAGACACGATGCTAACTAGGTGGTCCATGCCTGGTGCAGTCACAGATCATCAAATTTTATCCTTTGTGTTCAGCAAGCTGTTTAATAAGCCAGGCTTTTGCATGGAGCTCCTTTTGTCATTTTCTGTCCCTTGATGTCCAACTTGAGCCAAGGGATCCGCAAGACACCTCCTTACAAGGGGCTAGAAGCTAATGCCTTTAACACCCTTCTTGAAGCTCCCTGACTTGGTCCTACTTATTTTTATACGTTGGCATTTTCTCTTGTTTCTTTTCATGGAAGGAGGCTGAGAACACTTGATTAAAAACTGTGTGTTATTGTGGGTAATTCTTTTTATTTTTCTGACTGAAACCTAACACTGCTTTGTAAAAATAAATAGTTTCACGGCTCTGGTTGAAATTACCATGAGGCTCCTCTGACTTTGTGGGTAGAGATGAGATGTTGGAGCCAAGTCTGGTGGGTGGGGAAGAAAGCAAAAGAGTAAGTCTTCCCTAAGGAAGGGCGTGGGGACACCAAACACAACAGTTGCCTGAGCTGGACGCATGTTTTGGGACCACAGGGCAAGAAAACGGAACACTCAACAAGCACGGACACAACTAGGTTCTGGGCTTCTGCTCCTCCCAGCTTCTATGTGTCTCCACCTCCCTCAAAGCCACAATTCTGCATCAAAGTGTTTGTTCTCAGACATATTATCTTCTTCACCAGGCTTAGTCACATGACACCAAGGGAGAAGCAGGTAATCCTCTTCCAGAGTCTCACAGGCCTGCTTATGTTCAGACATGTCTTAGATCTAATCACCAGAATTATGCGAGTGCATACATACCTGCATCCTCATGCACACATGGAAAGGCATACATTCACACCTGCATCCCCAGGCACACACGGAAAGGCATACATTCACACCTGCATCCCCATGCACACACCGAAAGGCATATATTCACACCTACATCCCAAGGCACACACGGAAAGGCAAACATTCACACCTGCATCCCAGCACACATTGGCATACATTCACACCTGCATCCCCAGGCACACACGGAAAGGCATACATTCACACCTGCATCCCCAGGCACACATGGAAATGCATGCACTCACACCTGCAGCCCCAGGCACACACGGAAAGGCATACATTCACACCTGCATCCCCAGGCACACATGGAAAGGCATACATTCACACCTGAATCCCCAGGCACACACGGAAAGGCATACATTCACACCTGCATCCCCAGGCACACACGGAAAGGCATACATTCACACCTGCATCCCCATGCACACATGGAAAGGCTTTCACTCACACCTGCATCCATGTGCACACATGAAAGGCTTACATGCACAAGTGCATCCACGTGCACACATGGAAAGGTCTGCTTCCCATGAGACACAACACGAGCATGCACTTTGTGCCTGGCATTATCATGTAAACTTTTCAAAAATAATTTTGGAAATGTCAGATCCTTCAGTGAAAAAGAAACAATGTGGATTTAAAATTACTTTGCATGATAAATGTTAAATCAGGTTGGTTAGTGTAAAAATGAGAAACATTATGTTCCCAAACTAACATTCACACCATGAAACAAGTTGATGCAATGCTTGTTTCTATATCAGCTTTGGTTGTACATAACAGGACAAGGGTCTAGTCACACTTAGGATTATTGTGTAAACCCCATTGGTAGCAGATAATCTCCCAGCACACCATTGTATGCACGGTGAGACTAGCTCAGATGTGCAGTCGGCTACTTGATGAACTAAATGCATTTTGTGAAGTTTGTACTGCCTTTTAAGAGAAACCCCCTTGAGATGATCTTAAATGGGAATGTGATGCTAAAACTCCCTGTCCTTGTTCAGAACTCTTACTGGCATCTGCTGGTGGGCTGCTGGCCCTCTAGGTCGCTAGAGTGTTGTTTACAGCACTCCTCCATGCTCCCCCACACTATCTTAGCAAGGTGTACAGACAGTTCATCTTCCTTCCTGTAAGGCAGTCGCTGTAAGGACTAACCCTTCAATGGTGAATCCAAAGTCAGCACAGGAAAAATAATCACCACATCCAGAATTAATTTCTCTCAGAGGAGCATAAAATATTCTCTGTGGCTAGATCTCCGAGCGGGCTCCACTCAGCCATGCTGTGCACTCCAGAGTGGCTTGCCGTCTACCATCACCTCATCCTGTTGGCTCTCCGCCCAGATCACTCTCCCTCCCTCATTCTGTTTCTCCACACTCCTTCCCTGAAGCCTGGCTCAGCCTGCAAATCTCTAAAATCTACCTCTGCTTTGCTGCCTTCAAGATTACACATGAACACAAAAGATCGGCTTGGACTCACTCAATATCTACTGTTGGTGAGTTTGCGCATAACAGGTTGGTTCAGCCCGTTCCAACATGGCTTGTACAGCTAACAAACACCACTCATGTCTACCTCACTGACCACCTGTCAGGAAACACCAAACAGGCACATTCTCCAGACATCTGAAGCACGTAGAGCTCACTGGCCACCGACGTGGCCGTGAGTTTGCAGAAAGAAGACCACGGTCTCCTCAGACACCGGGTGATGGGTGAGTAATCACAGATCCGGTTACACCAAGAGGTGACACAGACTTCTCGGGGTTAAGTGGCCACAGCAAAGCAGCAGCAATAGTTACAACCTGCTCTGCTCATGCATTCAGATCCCCCTTATTCCTGCTCCCATGTCTGCCTGGAATCACTTGTCTTCCCAGATCTTTATGGGGGAAGCAGTGCTTCCTGGCAACAGCTCGTGTTGCCACCCAAATCCTAAAACACTAGGATGTCTCTTTGTTGACTCCCATTCTGACCTGGTGACCTTTGCAGGCAACAGGTACGTGAGGACCAAACTGGTTTGGTCACGGTTCTATTGCTGTGAAGAGACACCGTGACCAAGGCAGCTCTCATAAAAGGAGTTCAGTTGGGGCTGGCTTACAGTTTCAGAGGTTCAGCCCATTGTCATCATTGAGGAGCAAGGCAGCAGCAGGCAGACCTGGTGCTGGAGAAGGAGCTGAGAGTTCTGGATCCGCAAGCAGCAGGAAGAGTGAGAACCGCTGGGTCTGGGTTTAGACTTCTGAAACCTCAAAGCCCACCCCACAGTGACATACTTCCCCCAACCAAGCCATACCTACCCCATCAAGGCCATACTTCCCAACCCTTCTGACTAATACCCTTGCTGATGAGTAAGCATTCAAATATTCAGCCTGTGGGGCTATGGGGCTATTCTTATTCAAGCCACCAGGCCAGCTGAGGCAGGAGCTTGGCTGCATTTCTTTTGGAAGGAGTAAGATCCACAGCTGCAGACTCTGCCTTGCCTAGATCCCCGGAGGAGCTGGTCCCTCTCAGTTCCCTGGGGTACTGTATTTACATCCTGGACACACACAGCAATGGACCCTTTTGGCTTAGGTTTTCCCCGAGCAAACGTTGTGGGGAAACCTGCTCATAGACACACGCTTTCTGTCTCCCCAGTGATGCGATGACTTCCAATATCATTTTGGCTGATTTCCTTCTGACAGCATCAGCATCTGTGTCCTTGAGAAGCCAGGCCTGTGAAGCAATGAGCCTCCTGGGAAGAGCGCTCTCTCTTCCACTTCCTCATTCTCCCTTGAGAGTGTACTCTGATTTCCCAGGTCTGAAGAACCTTCAAGAGCTGCCTGACCCAGAAGCTTCTCACCTCACCATTCCTGGTGTTAGGAGAGCAGTGGTTTTGTTTTGTTTTTTTTTTATTGTTTGTTTTTTGTTTTGTTTTTGTTTTGTTTGCTTGTTTGTTTGTTTTTGGCACTTTCTTGCAAAGGAGAATCTTCATCCAGAAACTACACTTTCTCATTCTCACACATGGTGGTCTGGGGGCCGCAATATAAAATCACCCTCAGAATGTAACCAGTAGTCACTCAGTTTGTTTAAAAGCTTTGCTAGTTTGTGCTAAAAATGCACGCTGTGCACCTTGCTTACGTGTTCCACGACACCTGCAGAGCGTGCTTGATGGAATGGAGCTGGAGGATGTGTTGGAGTTGGGGGATCCTGTCCAAAGGTACCTGAAGCACACAACCATGGCTTCTCGGGGTTCTTGCAGAAGCAGATATGTTCACAAGAATAAAATAATCAGAAGGGAAAATGAGACAAGGAGTTTAAGAGTATGGCAAGCAAGAGGGCTACTGTGAGGACATTGGCTAATGTAACAGGTACCAAGGAGTAACTGCTGCATGAAAGAGAGGAAACAGAATCCCAGAGAAGCAGGAAATGGGTGACAGAGTCTCAGGTAGCCTAGCCCTGAGACTCCATCAGACAGTAGCTGAGAATATGTTGGGACCAAACAGTTTTGAAGTAGGATCCACCCAGAGAACAGAGAGGAGAAAGAGGGTCTCCTTGGGTAATACAGTTCACACTGATGCTTTGCTCGGAGTAATTTAACGGAAAGACAAGCAATTAAATTATACATCTATGGAAAAGCTCAGATTCTTACAGTAAAAAATGTAAATGTAAAAAAAGTTGACAAAGTGACTGTATTTCAAGTTTAAACTCAGGGAAATTGCAGTGTGAGAGGGACTGGGGGCCCACACAGTGAGCATGAAGGCCCATTGGGTGTGTTTACCAGAAGAGTGTGGCAAAGCCATAGCTGCAGAGAAGGGCCTGGATGTGGATAACCTGAGGCCCAGTTTCCTTTGTTAGCCCTGACTTAATGTTTCAGCAAGACACAAAACCCACATCATAGGACAGTTTCAGTTCCCGTTTGGAAGTAAGTACAAATTTGAACTTGCATGGACTTGATTCCCTGAGGTTACTTGAGTAGTTCTCACTTCTCCGTTAGCTGTGTGGTTCTTTATAAAGAATTCTTATACAAGGATCGCTGTGGCTAAAACCACTCAACTTACTGTCCATTCCTGTTTGAACTAAGGTCCAAGGCAGGTCTGAGTGCAGGAGGCCCTTTGCCTCAAAGGGTTCAGTGTCCTTGGACAGAGCCAGGCCTACAAGTACTAGGCATGCCACTTTCCCATAGAAACTGTAGGGCTGTGGAACAGGGCTGTGGAGTTGGCTCTGTAGGTATAGTGCATCCCACGTGTGTGAGGACCTGCGTTCAAACCCCAGGCACTCACATCAAGCCAGGCTCCATTGTGTGGAAGGACCTAGACCCTCACCCAGCCCCCTGCTTTGGCAGCCACAACAGGCTACAGAAATGACCTAGCAAGACATAGGCCCCTGAATCAACAACATGTCCTGAGCTTCTGGCCTTGCCCTAATCACTAGGAAGCAACCTCCAGATACCCTCCATGTGGCAAGGAACCAATGAGAAGTCACCTGGAGGGCTCTGGGTGTGCTTTACTGATAATAGTGGAATGCAGAGCATAGCAACTGCTCTGGGAGGACCTCTAGGTATAGCAGGCAACCTATCTGTAGCTGCAGCTGACCAATCAACTCAGGACAGGTGACCCCCAACCGTAAGAGTATTTTCATACATTGCTTCTTCATAGCTGTAATTTTGCTGCTACTCTGAATTGTAATGTAAATATTCATGTTTTCCAGATGTCTTAGGCAATCACTGTGACAGGGTTCTTCAGCTGCCAAAGGGGTCATGACCCACAGGTTGGGAACCATTGATAAAGATGATTCAATGATATAGACAATGAGTAGAGTGCTCTCATGACCAGCATTACAGAAAGTAGCAAAAAGGATGAAGCCACTAAGCCCACTCTTGACAAGTATGCCACCACGAAGATGCAGCCAGCCAACTGTATTTTCTCACAGCCTACTTTTCAGTGTCTGTGCAGGGGCTGCCCTGGACCTTCTCTCTGCTTTACTCTGCTACCTCAACTCAACCACCTTAGCTCAGGTCTCAACTTTGTGGACACGCCCTCAAGTCTTCATTTACCTTAACTGTATCCCCAAAGGACCTACCTCCAAATTCTGTAATCAAAATGTTCCTGCTGTCTTAATATTTTACAGTGGGGCTCAAATTTGGACAGTAATGTGACAGGTCTGTCCCCTTTCCTTTTGATTTTCCCTAAATTGACTAACAGGACATACAAAGGCTACTGTGAGCCAATGTTCTCTTGAGCAGCTTCTCTAAGTCACTTTCACTGTCCTGTAGCCTGTCCTATTTTGGTGAGGAGATCGTATGGTGTAGTGGTTAAGAGCCTGGTGACCCTGGACTTGTCACTTCGTACTACAGTTTGACGCTTCTATCTCCTCATCTTAGCTACTGTCCGCTTTGGACAAGATTTCAGATTTTACGTCTCCACGAGTGTTGACAATGTCAAAACCTCAGAGGCATTAACAACACTCTTTGGAACATGTCCAAGAAGTGCTCAGTGCCTGGAACACAGAAAGAGTTCAATAAAACAATGTCTATTTTTCCATCATTTATGCTTAAAGAACACAGGAAGTAGCCACCGCCAAATCTCTGAGAAATCCAGAAAGACTTTCACTGTGCCCTTGAACTAAAAGGCTGTCATGCTTTTCCTATAGTTACTGTGCCTCCCAACAATAATGCCTCCTCCCTACTCACTGTGCCTCCTGACACGTGACCTAAGACCACCGTTGACGTGGAGTCACCACCCACCATGCTGCTAGCCTCTAGTGAGATTTTTCCCAAATGAAGTATATGGTAACTAAATGTTTAGATTACAGGACTCCATGTCATTTCCAGTGAATTACTACTCGGGTCTATGCATAGGAATTTTCTAGCAACAACATAGCCCGAGTGTCACTGAGCCTTGCAGTTACATGAAGAAGCTTTCTTCGATGACGTAAAGAAGTGCAATGCTGAATTCTGACAAGGGGCTCTCTCTGTGGCTCATGCTTCTTCTGCTACTGTGGAAGGAAGCAGTAGGGTCATGGTGTGTGTGTGTGTTAGCAGCTTTGTCTTAGGAAAAGCTGGCAGCAGCATGCGCATCTGGCATTCCCCTCTCCAAATCACCTTCACCGTGGAGTTGCAATCACACATACACCTTGGGAAATTCTGCTTGCTTGTTTTGGGTTTTGATAAGACTGTGCTTATAGAAATTGTAGCATTATCTCGTGATGCCTGTATGACACTCCAGGTCCAGACTTATTAGAATTTGAGTCAAGATTCCGAGTCCGGAGAAAGAAGAGTGGCCTGCCATACTTCTTATGTCTCAGTGTACAAAGTCAGGGCCAAATTTGATTTCAGGCAGCAATCATTACCAATACATTAAACTAACCTTATAAAAAAAAAGTGCTTTCTTTGGCTTTGGTTATTTCTCCTTTGTCAAGCTTTTGTTGTCCTTTTTCCCTCATTGTCCCATTTTATTCAAAGAAGCATGCTATGTGACTTTACCTGGGGAGGTATAAACGGAGAGAGCTCTGTTCATCCCAGACACAGAGGCTCCCAATGGACCAAGGAAGGGATTCTGTCCAAATTGAATACAGGGGGTGGATGAGTTTACTGGGCAGCCACAAGTCGGTCATATGCTCAAGAGTTTGGAATCAGAAACCAGCCTTCTCCTCTGGGGCAAGTGCCCAGCAAATAAAAACACTAAGCAGTCTATATTAACTTGCTAGATTGCAAACAACATCATAACAAGCAGAGGAAAAAAATCTAAAATGAGCTAGTAATTATACCACTTTGTTCTTTGTGCCTAATTATCTCAAGAAATTACTGAACTCTTGAAAAGACACACTGTAGAGAGTAAAAACTGTAAATCTTGAAAGAAAAAGAGAAAATGGTGTGTTTAGAAGGTGTCACTGGCTCAAAGCTAATGCAGATACAGACTTTAAGTTCCTGTCATCTCAACAGTTTCAAGCCACAACAAGAGCAACAGAGAGTTATAACTTAGAACTAAACATCTTGCTTCGTCTCTGTCTCCAACACTGCTCTGAAGCAGAATTCCTTCCCAGGATCTCAGCCTCTCTACCTCCTTCTACAGGTATGTGTTACAGGAGAGCCTAGGGACACATTAACAGTCCCCAAACAGATGGGCTTCCCAGTTAAGTTTTCCTCTTCACTTGGGCAGGAAAAACACAGCTGTATGAAGCAATTTTGTATTCAAGATTTCCTAAATACTGGGCAGCTTTTCATCTCTAATTCAGCAGGGAGCTGGAACCGGAAACAGCAGGTGGCCTGGCCCATTGAGCGCTAAGTTCTCCGTT